GCCACCCTGAGGAAGAAGCATGCAGACAGTGTGGCTGAACTTGGGGAACAGATTGACAACCTGCAGCGGGTCAAGCAGAAGCTGGAGAAAGAGAAGAGTGAGATGAAGATGGAGATTGATGACCTTGCTAGTAATGTAGAGACCATCTCTAAAGCTAAGGTACAACAGATATGGGAAAACTGACATTAATGACACTAACCCATATGGACACATCATAGTTCAAAAAGGACACATTATACACATTAAGTCATTTATTATTTGCAGTTATCCAGGAAGGTAAGCATAAAATAAATAAAGCCTTTTTAATTATTTTCATTTAACATATAAATAAACAGAAAACCAAAGCACAGCAGAGTATCACCCCATTTATAATAACAGTGCTAGCTTTGGAAAATAGGTCATTTGTGTTCTTCAGTCCCCCAACTTGAGAGTACAACTCTCCCATGTTTTCAATTATCCAATAGCAAGGTTTCAGTGTATACAAAGGCAATGCAGTAGTTTTTAATATGCCTTTAGAGTATGTACCATATAATTCTTGTGGAATCTTAAAATTGAAACCTACTATTTAACTTTTATATTAATACTGCACATAGCTTCATGACTAGCTTTTGTAAAATAAAAATAAATAAATTCTTCTATATCACAGTGCATATTAGATAATTTGACTTATGAATCAAAACAATTATTAGATATTTCATTTGGGGAGAATTCTTAGCTGCTGCAAAGATCACTATCTTGAAGGGTCTCCACTTCCTTCTTTCGCTTTTTATCCTGTAGGGAAACCTAGAGAAAATGTGCCGCACTCTAGAGGACCAAGTGAGTGAACTGAAATCCAAAGAAGAAGAGCAGCAGCGGCTCATCAATGACCTGACAACCCAGAGGGGACGCCTGCAGACTGAATCTGGTAAACCTCCCCTCTTGTTTGGTGCCTAAGAGTGGTGGTGATGATGATATGGTTAAGAACAAATGATTTGGTGGCAGTCTAATAAAAGCAACTGAGATCATGTGTGATTCATTGAAAGGCTCAGACTCTTCATCTAAGTGCAAGGTCATTTGGGGACAACTCTGGAATAAATATTTTCATATAACTAAACTAAGCTCTGCTCCAGAAAGGCCTTGAATATTTATTTTTCACAAAGGGGATGTTGGAATAGAGGTCATTCCAGCATGGGTTCAGGACTTCTTTGTCAAGACACATTTTTTAAAAAAAGTTTGTATCAACATTAAATTAACGACTAGGGCAATGGATAGGCCTATCTCTCAAAAGTCTATGGAAGTGGAACTATGTAGAATTGGACATTTTATCTCCCTTTTTGACAGCCTTCAAAAGGTTTTGCAACATATAAAAGGCTAAAATAATTAGTTATGGAGAGGACAAAAAATTTGAGCTATATTTATTCATATGGATTGATATGGAAGTTCCACCATAAATACCCAAATTTAGCGTTGACTATGAAGATGCCAATATAGAATTCAATAATCTGAGTATTCATTTTGGGGGGATAAGGATAAAATTTATTTTTAACATGGGTTTGCAGAATATTTTCTTCATTTAAAAAACAATGTGCTATTTCTTTGTCTAGGTGAATTTTCACGCCAGCTTGATGAAAAAGAAGCTCTGGTGTCTCAGTTATCAAGGGGAAAACAAGCATTTACTCAACAGATTGAGGAATTAAAGAGGCAGCTTGAAGAAGAAGTAAAGGTAACAATTATTCTGAGTTGACCATAAACAGATACAGTTATACCAACTTTTAGACGGTTTTGAATTGAAACTTAAAAATTAAACAATTAAACATCCAATAAAATGAAGGCATAACTATCTCCACAGGCCAAGAATGCCCTGGCCCACGCCCTGCAGTCCTCCCGCCATGACTGTGACCTGCTGCGGGAGCAGTATGAGGAGGAGCAAGAATCCAAGGCGGAGCTGCAGAGGGCGCTGTCCAAGGCCAACAGTGAGGTTGCCCAGTGGAGGACCAAGTATGAGACCGATGCCATCCAGCGCACAGAGGAGCTGGAGGAGGCTAAGTATGTGCACAGCACTGAAAGAATGTGCTGAAAACTTGGCACAGTCAGTGAATTAGTTTGACAATGCTTAATTAACTAGTTTCTATTTGCCAGTCACTACCAAGTCCTGAGAATGATTCATGAATAGAGCAAACAGTAGTCCCTACTGCACAAGACTAAAATCCAGTTAAGAAATCAAAAATGGCAAATGATTACTAATTACAGAGCTTAAGCCATATGCCAAGCACACCAAGCTCATCGCTGCTTTAGGGTTTTGTGCAGTTCCCTCTGTTTAGAATACTTTCCATACTGGTCTCCCTCTAGCTCATTGTGACTTCTTTCAGATGTTGTGACTTGACTCAGATGTTATCTCCCAAGGGAGGCCTTTCCTGAATACCTGAAGTAGTTGCCCATAATGTACCCTACTTTACTTCTCTTTGTCATACTTATATCTAAAAGTGTGGTCATGGATTTTTCTGACTTGCTTATTGTTTATCTCTCCCACTAGTTTGTAAGCTTTATGGCAGGGAACATTTTTGTCTTATTCATTGTTGTCTCAATGACTGGTTTATAAAAAAAGCTTGCTGATGTTTGTTGATTGAACTAATAGATCACGTTAGTGTGAAGTTTCCAATATGCTTCAGTATGCTAACAATTCGTGATTGTTATTATGTTTATTTCTCCCTAAAATTTTATATAATTTTTCAGGAAGAAGCTGGCTCAGAGGTTACAGGCTGCTGAGGAACACGTGGAAGCTGTGAATGCCAAATGTGCATCCTTGGAGAAGACAAAGCAGAGGCTGCAGAATGAGGTTGAGGACCTCATGCTTGATGTGGAGAGGACCAATGCTGCCTGTGCAGCCCTAGACAAGAAGCAAAGGAACTTTGATAAGGTGATGTCTGTAGCATTCACTGCTCTCTGTCACTTTTTTCTGCCCTATACAGCAGGTAACCACTCTGGATTTTTCAGATCCTGGCTGAATGGAAGCAGAAATATGAGGAAACACATGCTGAGCTGGAAGCATCCCAGAAGGAGGCCCGCTCCCTTGGTACTGAGCTGTTCAAGATGAAGAATGCCTATGAGGAATCCTTGGATCAGCTAGAAACCCTGAAGCGAGAGAACAAAAACTTGCAGCGTGAGTCCCTTTCACTTTCAATAATATTCATGACTTGGAGGAATCTCTCTCTCATGCATGTGTTTGACCAAGTCCTTACCTGTCTTTTACCCAAACAACAGAGGAGATTTCTGACCTCACGGAGCAGATTGCAGAGGGAGGAAAACGTATCCATGAACTGGAGAAAATAAAGAAACAAGTAGAACAAGAGAAGTGTGAACTTCAGGCTGCTTTAGAAGAAGCTGAGGTACAGATTGAATTGTATCTTATACACAAACAAATCAGAAAAAATTAAATACATCTTTGTAGGTTGTAAAAAGATAGACAGAATAAAATTAATGCCTTGCAGAAAAACTTCAAAATGCTTCTTGCTAATGTCATCTTTTGCGGTCTTTAAGGCATCTCTTGAACATGAAGAGGGGAAAATCCTGCGCATCCAGCTTGAACTGAACCAAGTCAAGTCTGAAATTGACAGGAAAATTGCTGAGAAGGATGAGGAAATTGACCAGCTGAAGAGAAACCACATTAGAATCGTGGAGTCAATGCAGAGCACACTGGATGCTGAGATCAGGAGCAGGAATGATGCCATCAGGATCAAGAAGAAGATGGAGGGAGACCTCAATGAAATGGAAATCCAGCTGAACCATGCCAACCGCATGGCTGCTGAGGCCCTGAGGAACTATAGGAACACTCAAGGCATACTCAAGGTAAATGGCTTCAAAAGATGGACCCGGGGGGCTGGGGATATAGCTCAGTTGGTAGAGTGCTTGTCTTGCATGCACAGACCCTGGGTTCAATCCCCAGCGCTGCCAAAAAACAAAAAGATGATTCCAGGACAATTGGAATGACTGCAGCCTGAGAACATGATATCTCAATGATCTCTCATTGCACAGGATACCCAGCTACACCTGGATGATGCTCTCCGGGGCCAGGAGGACCTGAAGGAACAGCTGGCCATGGTTGAGCGCAGAGCCAACCTGCTTCAGGCTGAGATTGAGGAGCTGCGGGCCACACTGGAGCAGACCGAGAGGAGCAGGAAAATCGCAGAACAGGAGCTCCTGGATGCCAGTGAGCGTGTCCAGCTCCTCCACACCCAGGTGGGATTTAGAACAAAGAACTCCCCTGTTGGTTGATGTTTACATGCCCAGAATATACAGGCCTGAATTTTTTATATGACGGCCAGGTTTTATACTTTCATCATTTTTTTTACTGTATTATTGAGAAAACTTCCACTATTTTATGTTAAACAAATATTATTGACTCACTTCCTATAATAATCTAAGGCTAACTCATTGTCTATTATTTTTTAAGTTTTACTGACTCTTCTTATTAATATTGACATTTTATTGTGCAGAAATTGAATCTTGTGAACATTATTATTTTATCCCTGTGAATGGTTTCACTGGCAAATGATAATTTTAATATTATACAGCTATTTCGTCTGCTTATGAAGTATGTTCTTGAAGATGTTCAATATTCTATAACATTTCTATTTTATTTATTTGCACTACATAACAAGATTCCTTAATACTGAAAGCATTTCTTGTAGTTTTTAACCTATTTTTTTTTTTCAAAAAATGGTACTTTAATAGCATAATAAGAAGATGTATATGTTATTTTAAAATAGAACACTAGCCTGATCAACACCAAGAAGAAGCTGGAAACAGATATTTCCCAAATGCAAGGAGAGATGGAGGACATCATCCAGGAAGCCCGCAATGCAGAAGAGAAGGCCAAGAAGGCCATAACTGATGTGAGTAGCAGGCATAGTTCTCCATTAATTTAGCAGTACGACTGCCTACAGCAATAGTTTTCTTGATTTTTTTGGTTTATTTGCCAACCAGGCTGCCATGATGGCTGAGGAGCTGAAGAAGGAGCAGGACACCAGCGCCCACCTGGAGCGGATGAAGAAGAACATGGAGCAGACAGTGAAGGACCTGCAGCTCCGTCTGGATGAGGCTGAGCAGCTGGCACTGAAGGGTGGCAAGAAGCAGATCCAGAAGCTGGAGGCCAGGGTGGGTCTCCCAATATCTATTTCCTTCTGCTTCCAGTGCCTGATTTGATTAAAGTTCTTTCTAAGAGCCTACCTATTTGCAGGTGCGTGAGCTGGAAGGGGAGGTTGAGAGCGAGCAAAAGCGTAATGTTGAAGCTGTCAAAGGTCTGCGCAAACATGAGAGGCGAGTGAAGGAACTCACTTACCAGGTACAGCATTAACTTTTATCACCTAAGCATTCTTCCAAATCAATGTGAAATGCTCATATACAATGATACAATAGAGCTTTAGAAATAAGGTCCTATGGTTTTTATGATCTTTCAGACGGAAGAAGATCGGAAAAATATTCTCAGGCTTCAGGATTTGGTAGATAAACTTCAGGCAAAAGTGAAATCTTACAAGAGACAAGCAGAAGAGGCTGTAAGTATCTTTAAAGTAGAAGGGAAGAATGAAGTCCTTGGGTTAAGAAAAGCTAATAGGTATTTACATTCATTATCCTGTTCATTTTTGTAGTTTTATTTCTTATCATTTGTAATATCAAAAGCTTGGTTTTAAAAGTTAACTTTCACTTAACAAAGAAACAAAAATTTAAAAGCAGAAATAACACAGGCCATAATCTCTGGTCATTGTCTGCTAAAATTGCCAAGTGATGAGAAAATATAAACAAAAATCCCTATATTTAAATGCTAAAGAAGAAACTTTCCTTTATATTTCTTTGGATAAATTTAAAATAAAAATCATAATTACTGAATAATTAATTATAAATAAAACTACAAGGAAGATGCTACTTTTACAAACCTACATAATGAAGTCAAAGCTATTGACTGAAAGTTACTTCATTGTATGTGCTTTCATTATGAGTCAAAAATAAAAATAAATTAATAAGTGGACAGTGTAATCCAGAAATTATGAATAACAAAACAATGGAAATAAGAAGCACTATTAAAAAAGGTAGAAATTGATAAATTGATTAACTAGAGTGTAATATTTTCTAATTTGACTATTTTAGTTATATCTAATAACTTTGGGGAATTGATATACTTTTGAGTAGTTTAATCAAGGGGAAAGTGAGAGAAAATATAAACTCACAACATTATAAATAAGAAAAGAAATAAACCATGGACATAAAAAAATTTTGGTGTAATTACTATGTAAACCTACCAAAAAAATTGGAATCCTGAGGAAATTTATGATTTTTCTAGGAGAATATACATTACCAATTTGGCTGGATAAGTTATTTCAGAATTACTTCTGAAAATGGACCCAGGACCGGACAGGTCTTTCAAAATTTCAAGGGACAGATAATCCCCCAGCTATGTAAGCTGTTCAAGATCATGGGAAAAGACAGAGAGCTTTCTAATTCATGTTAAGAAGCCTGCATAACCCTCATACCAGAACCTGTCCAAGAGAGAACAGGGGGAAGAAAATACAGGCCATTTTATTCATGAGTGTAGTTGTAGCATGGGTAAATTACTAAGTTGTAAGACCCTTACTTTATTAAAGAAAATTTCTATTGGTATTTAAATAGGCTTAGTTCCTACAATGTAAGGATTACTTTATATTAGGGAGTCTGTCAGTACAATTTTTACATCCAAAGCAGGAAGAAAAAAGTGAATGTATTGTGCCAAAACATTCATAGTAAAATACATCATTTATTTCAATTTTAAAAACTATTATTAAATTCATCCTTAATATGATAAAGAATACTTAATTTTAGGGAACAGTCATCATCTAACATCAAGTATTAACAACTTTGACTTTAATATTCTTTCCTTCTCCTCTGATCTTAACATTTTTTATTATTCTATTTGTGGTACACATCTTTTAATATGCTTTGGTTTAAAAATTAAGTTTGTGATTATTTATGAGGCACCAAGCCCCAGTTAAATCACAATATTAATTTCAATGATAAGCAAAATCTAGGAGATGGTAAGATTCTGCTTATCTATAGATGCCAAATCCTTTCATCCCTTAAGTCTTTAGTCTAGAAAGATGTGCAGTATGGGCTTCTTACAATTCCATTTTTATTCTCAGGAGGAACAATCCAACACAAATCTATCTAAATTCCGCAAGATCCAGCATGAATTGGAGGAAGCAGAGGAAAGGGCTGACATTGCAGAGTCTCAGGTCAACAAATTGCGGGTAAAGAGTCGGGAAGTTCATACAAAAATTATAAGTGAAGAGTGATCAAGTCCGGATGCAATGGAATGACTGAAGAGAGGCACAAAATGTGAAGTCTTTGGTCATTTTCCTCTGTAATTTTGTCTATTCTACCCTATTGTGAAGGAAATAAAAAGTACAGAATATTTTGCAAACCATATCCTTAGGCTTTGTTTGTTTTCTCTCCTAAAATGATGTGAAAGTTTAAATAATCTCAAGCCTCTTGAGCAATCACATTTAACCTGCCACTATGATAATACTTGAAAACTATGAAGCTGTCACTTATCAGAGAAGCCAGTTCTGGTGAACAGAAATCTGGATATAATTTTTCTTTCTAACCTTTCCTGATATTTGGGGTATAGTAAAATCCTAGAAAGTTCCTGCTTCCTCTAATTTTTCAGGTCTACGCAAAGAATGGCACTAGCTGTATTTTCACATGGGCAATTCAGACGGAACCACATCATTAATTCTCCTTGCTTAATAACTGATAAAGAACACAAATGAAAAGTATTAATTAGTTGGTACATGAAGATTTCCAATATTAATACTAATATGCTGTGCACATAGTGTGGGTACGGTTTGATATGATGAATGAGATGTGACCTTTCTCCCTACGAAAGACACAGGGTAGCAATCAAGACTGGAGCCATAGAGATTATTACTTTATATATTATAATATTTCCAGACTTCATGGCCTCCTAGATAATCATGTAAAGAATCAAAATCAACTACAAGAATATCAATAAAATGTATACACACATAGTGATGAACATGAATTTGGTACAAAAAGTAGATATGGTAGCTATCTAAATTACTGAGAGAAAAATTCTTGGAAGATTAAGATTTTTAAACTAGATACAGCTGAGATACATAAGCCAAAAATATAAACTTCCTGGACAGTATGAAAGAAAAGCTAAATGCTAACTTCCTGTAAAAATAGAAAGCAAGAATATCTTGGCTTCAAAGGCACCATGTGAGAATGATTTAAATTAGACCCGTGGAGGCAATTTAACAGGTAAGTTGGATTCATGCTGTAACACCAGATTTAGGAAGGGTGTGGGATTGCTCTTCTCACTGTATCCGTCCCTTTTTCACTTTGTTCCTATATCACCTGTGAATGCTGAAGTGCCTCTTAACTTGGCAGTTAATTACCAAAAAAAAAAAATAAATAAATAAATAAAATAAAGTCTTGCTTTCCATTTACTGAATAGTTTTTCTAAAGTAGAACAAAAGTCTGTCTAAAATTCCCATCAAATCCTACTGAGAGCATTATTAAAATGTTCTCTCTTCCTGAGAATTATTACCTACATTTTACAGATGCCTAATAAAGAAACAGACATTTAAGAAAACAAAATGATGTACCTGTAGTAACAAAGCGAGTTAACAGTTGACTACAAAAGCCCCTCTTGGACCCACATCCTTTGCAAGACTCTTCCTGATGGCTTTAATTGACTCCAGATAGAAGAATTTCACCAGGAAGTGTTTGGGACTGCAAGTCAGATGACTGGGGTCTGGACTGCTGTGTGATTTGTAGAAAGTTCCTTCTATTTTTTGAATTTCAATTGCTTTATTAGTAAAATGACTAGATGGTATCTTAAAATAATAAAATAAAATGAGGATTACTACCAGCATCTCCAGAAATCGTTTTCACAAGGCAATCCACCTACTTCCATTACAACAATTTTAGTATAAGGACAATAGTACAGATATGGGTGCAAACGGGATACAGTGGGTCTCAGGACCAGTCAAACAATGTTGACAGAGATGCAAAGTCACAGAGACAATAAAACAAACATGTTTTAAAATCAAAAGTTAAAATAGAAAGCAATGTCAAGATATTATTTTCAAGCAAAATGTTAAATATATATTTTAGGTATCTGATGGAAAAGAATTCATACACACTCATATTTACAGGGAGAAATGCTCCGTTTTAAATATTTTTCCTATGTTCAGTTTCATAGAGGAAAAAGGATTTAACAAACAATTTGCATTTTTAAATATGAGAAAAACAGGACATTTCTGCTCAGTAAGGCAGTTCAATTTTGGAACAAGTCTGAAGTGGGAATGGAATGATTTCACGATGAATAAAAGGTGAATGACTGGAGGAAACAAAAGAAGCTGTCTATCTTTGGCTGCTCCTTGTGAAGCAAGTTTTAAAATAAGTTCTGAGGCATAATTGGAAAAGCACAATGCATTGCAAAAAAAAAAAAAGTCTTCTTGGGAGGAAACAGCAAACTCCTTCTGATATTCTGCTAAAGAGCAGAAACTTTCCTCCCTGGTCTAATATTACAATTGTAAGGCAGTTGAAAAGACTTTACTCAGGCTGCTCAGTGAAATAGAAGAGCAGTAGGCAACAAAGTCCAGGCATTCCAGAACTTGGCTGTCTTTGAAACAACACCTTACATTATTCCAAGGGCAGATCACTTTCAGATTGCCAACAACTCAAATTATTTATAGGAGATTGGTTCATATACTTAACCCAATATGCGAGGAAATATTTCTAATTATATCCAGACATCTTTAATATGAGGGGAATTAGGCTTGGAGACCTTCTTTGCCAAAAACATGTTTTGCCAAATATGTTTTAAGAAAGAGGAGGAGGTTACATGTTTTCCATATTTGAGCCTATAAAAGTACTCTTGGAATGAGTTGACATGTCTTTCCTCATAAAGCTTCAAGGTAAGAGTGTGTGAGGACAGAGCCGTGTCTGGAGGACGTGAAGGGATGCTGGCTGCTTGCATGCATGCCACACATCCTGGTTCCCACTGTCCCTGGCAGCCTTGCCAGTGAAGCATCAACCTACCCCACAGCAATTTTAATTAGATGTTGTAGTCTTCCCAGTAACTTCCTGGTTCCAAATTAAGAATTATAATAATATTATTAGTAATTATTAGAATTTAATCAGAAGAATTTTATTCTTTTTCTTACAGTTCTGACCCAGTTCAAGGTTGCATATCTAAAGGTAAGAGCCTTCCCCCCCCCCCCATTCCTCACAGAGTGCAAAAGATTTTCTGCAATGGTTTGGATGGGGCATGGAGTGGGTGCTAAAAAATGAAAGTGTTTCAGTTTCACGACTGATCATGCTTCTTTTGAAAAACTCTAAGGGGGACTTTATAAATCATTTCTAATTAACTCAGATCCTTTGCAATATATGAAAATGTTTTTTCAGCCTTTGAGAGTTTCATGTAGAGTTTTTTTTTCTATTTCTAGCATTGTAGTTTGTCTTTTAAATGATTATAACATGCAATGCAATACTTCAGAGGGGTATTAATTTATAGGGAAAATGTGAACTTTCCATGCTACAGTTTTTACTCAGAACTATATGATATAAAAACTGAGATAATATCTAAATGGGTGCGCAGAATGGTCTAAATCCTTGCCTTGCAAAAGCTGCTTAACTCCATGTTGTTTCACAATGTGTAAAATGGAAATTTTAAAAAATATAGTATTAAAATGGTTTTCAGCAAGAAAAATCATTTTAATGTGTTAGCTGAGTCATTAAAATTTGAATGAAAAAATGTGAAATAGTTTATTCAAGTGAGCTTTCCTGGAAAAGGTATCTTTGTTATTACAAAATATATATGATGATCAAGGACAGTATTTATTAATGTTAGTTAAAGCAGTAAAAGATGAATTTGAAAGGAAAACGTTTGTAAAGTTTTTACGAGAATATTAGTAATAAGGTAAGAAAACATGTGTAATATATTTTATAATAAATCTGAGAAAATACTAAAGACTGATGAAGAAGCTGGGTTTGTCAGAATTAAGGGGACAAGATAAATTGATGTATAATAATTTTTTTCCCCAACAGAACCATGTGAAGCATAGCTCTTCACAATTCCACTTTCTTATATATTAATCTTTGTAACTCCCAACTTTATAATAATAACATTTTTACTATGTACAAAATAGTTCCTAAAATTTTGCAACATATACTTCTCATTCTTTTACCTCAGAAAGCCAGCCCTGAGCCCTTCTCTGCATCCAGCATGTATTTTTAGAGGTACAAAGGATGTATAAAGAGAAGAATGCTCCCTGCCTGCAAATTGCTTATAATCCAATAGGGAAAATAAAAATCATGCCTGAAAGACCCCACAGCATCCTGCTGTCATCTTGGCTTTGGGTTCTGCATAAACCAGTGATAGGCAGCTTATAAATATCAATATATAACAAATGAAACACAGACAGCAGTCAGGATAGATCTCCCAGTAGGTGAGCCAGAAACAAGCGTCTCTTTCCAAATGCATGATTGAGTAGCTGTCAGCACTGGCGCAGAACAAGGAGACTGATATTCCACCTACAACCAAGCCAGGGAGGTGGTGATACCCAATGCAGTGCTAAGCACCCCACGGTCAGTGAATTTAAAACAAACAAAAAAAAACTCTTTTAAAATGTGATGAATCTAATGGTCTAGTTTATGAATTTCTATAATTTCCTTTCTTCCTTTGCCAGGAGGCAGGGTCCTTAATTGGGCTGCCATCAATAACCTGCAGCCATGAGTTCCGACGCTGAGATGGCCATTTTTGGGGAGGCTGCTCCTTACCTCCGAAAGTCTGAAAAGGAGCGCATTGAAGCCCAGAACAAACCTTTCGATGCCAAGACATCAGTCTTTGTGGCGGACCCTAAGGAGTCCTTTGTAAAAGCAATAGTGCAGAGCAGGGAAGGGGGGAAGGTGACAGCAAAGACCGAAGCTGGAGCTGTGAGTAAAACATCTGCAGTTGATTAGACTGTTTGAACTACACCTTATTTGGGGTTAGGTTAGCTGACCATTATTTTCTCATCTGGTTTCTCCTGTTTTACTGGGTAGACTGTAACAGTGAAAGATGACCAAGTCTTTCCCATGAACCCTCCCAAATATGACAAGATCGAGGACATGGCCATGATGACCCACCTGCACGAGCCTGCTGTGCTGTACAACCTCAAAGAGCGTTATGCAGCCTGGATGATCTACGTGAGTTCTTATGGCCTTCTACTTATAGGGAGCTAATATATATTTTTTTAAAGAATAAATGATTAAAGTTCTTGACAAATAATTATACTTCTTTAAAATATGTATTTTCTTTACTTTTTTGGTGCAGACCTACTCAGGCCTATTCTGTGTCACTGTCAACCCCTACAAGTGGTTGCCAGTGTATAATGCAGAGGTGGTAACAGCCTACCGAGGCAAAAAGCGCCAGGAGGCCCCGCCCCACATCTTCTCCATCTCTGACAATGCCTATCAGTTCATGCTGACTGGTGAGTGGCTCGATTGGTTTTCATGTAAATTATTTTATCACAAAATGTTAGTGTTAAGAAGACATTTAGAAATAATCCAACCCAATCCTCTGGTTGTTAAGAAGAGGTGACCAAAGCCCAGAGAGGTATATGCTATCAACACTGGGACTAAATCTCAACTATCTATTCCCATGAATTTACCAGAACTTGCTAATGCTTCATCCCTGTTTCATTTGTTTATAGGCTTCTTGCTTAGAAACTAACAGATTTTATATATTTAAATAACAAGAGCAAGTCTAAGTAATATCTGAATCATATCCTGTCTGAATAGAAAAGCAAAATACATTTTAAATCCTTTTATTCCCTTTTTTATTGTTGATTATCAATTATATACTTTTAGAAGTATTAATTATCTTTTAAAAGCCATCAGAGTATATCTCAGGGGTGATAGCCTCTCCTTGAATGAAGATGATGTTTTGGGGTCACATGCATACACACAGAAGTTGTTCTATTCCCTCATAAAAAGATTTCTTTTTGATTGAGACACCCTTTCTCACCTGATCTTTCTTTAACACAATGGTACACTTTTGGGAAGGCAAATCATATTAAGGTTCTAATCTGTGCCATAAGGGGGAAAAAAAAGTTTTTCTTTGTGAGGCCAATTGACCCATTTAGAAACTAAATCTCAACACTGGCTTGAAGAATGCTATTTCAGCCTGTCAGATCATAGTTCAAACCCATAATATAAAATGAATTTTTCAGTATCATGCATTAATCAATAGACAGCAGGCCATTGAAATCTACAGATGGCAACTCTGGTAGTGTCTGGCTTTGGGGTATGGGGCTCTTAATATTAAATCAACAGGATATACTTCTTGTATTGACTTAAAGAATCTAAGATATGACAACATTTTATGTTTCTCTTTCCCAACTTAATTGGCTTAAGAGTAATATCATGTATAACATGACAATAACATTTTGGAAATACCATTGAAAATATGACACTTATATACTCACATGCCATGTTTCCCTATAGAAAATTTTATTTATGTAACTAATACATATGCTGATTGCTCACTATTTTTCTTTTAGATCGGGAAAATCAGTCTATCTTAATCACGTACGTATTCCTATTCTGAGACTTATTGGTATTTTTTTCTCACTAGAAAAATGACAAAAAAATAGTGAATACCCTCATACTAAAGCAATGGCAGGATCAGTAAGAAACTAGATATCAGTTTAGCTTTATTGTAGGATGTAGACTGAGTCCAAATGTAAAATAAAAATGTTCCAAATTATCTCATTTGCTAGTTTAGTCCTGAAAATCCCACAGGACTTCCCTGGAAGTTGGATATATAAATTACCTTCTATGATCTTGACTAGATCCTAATACAGGGCAGAGAAGAGCCCACAGCCTTATGGGAGGAAGAGTTGTTTGGAAATATACCAGTGACACATTTGCAAGTCCTACTTAGGGAAAATCTGTCTCTTCAAAGATATAACTTTCACTTCATCTGTAGTCTAAGGAAGCTGAAGAACACATGCACATTCCATACAGTTTTTTACTTAATGTTTTATTTACTATGTAGTTGTTGAGTGGCTGCTTTGTGTATCCCTCATAACCAGATCTAAACACCTAGAAATGAATAAGGAACATTTTTAAGCACTCAAGCAATATGTGTTAAAATGAATAATGAATGGATTTCTCTATTTGTCAGTGCAAAGCAAGAGAAATAATATGAGCTATTTGTAGGCTGCAAAAAGATCTAGAAGATTCTCTGACAGAAACATATAAAAACATCTAGATGCATGAGGTAGTAAATGCTAATGGTAGAAATTATTTCATTTGTCACAATGCATATTTTCTCATGTATGTTGGTCCTTGTGGACAGTGGAGAATCTGGTGCAGGGAAGACTGTGAACACCAAGCGTGTCATCCAGTACTTTGCAACAATTGCAGTTACTGGGGAGAAGAAGAAGGAGGAGGCAACCTCTGGAAAAATGCAGGTGGGTCTGGCTGCCATGGTCAGAATCCAGGCTCTGTTAGGGCTCTCAGGTATGAAATTCTTGAGCCCCAGATGCAAGAACTGCTCTCTCCTTTGCAGGGGACTCTGGAAGATCAAATCATCAGTGCCAACCCCCTACTGGAGGCCTTTGGCAATGCCAAGACCGTGAGGAATGACAACTCCTCTCGCTTTGTAAGTCTTTTGGTCATAGAAGGGTATTCTCTGTCTTTAGATACCAGAGGAAGCATATTTAATTTATTTAAAACACATTTCTCTTGTCTACCTCCAAGTGTAGTATATAACATCATCTTTTTTTAACTTACAAGGGTAAATTCATCAGGATCCACTTTGGCACTACAGGGAAACTGGCTTCTGCTGATATTGAAACATGTGAGTAACAGGACCTTCTAAACAGAATTCAAGAATGATAAATGATGATTTGGAAGAACACTGCAGCTCCTGCTGAGAGTAAAGCCTATAAAACCCTAGTCTTCTGCCAAACATGCCTGTGATTAGTGCCAGTCTTATCTTGAGCCCACATGTACTTTACCCACTCCAGGCATGAGCTAATGATTCTGTTGAAATCATTGGGAACTAATGGGATTGTCTAAAGTATCCTGTTATCAAACTATTTTCAGATTTTTCCAGGAAATAAAGTAACATTAAGGGTAAACGAATTGCCTATGGGTGGAAGACAGGTTATTTTTTCCTCATCTGAGCCTTGATTACTACTGCTCTTAGTAGCCCCTCTGGCACAGAATGACAAGAGACCTTGGGGAAGGAGCAGTCTTGAGACTCAGTTCATTCCAAATGTCAAGGTTCTTCTGTATGAGAAGTGAATGATGTCTTCTGCCAAGTATGTATCACTGCCTTTCTGGAGATGATAGGAGAAACTGCAGTGGTATTTGTAGAGACATTGTATGTGGTACCTCATGGGAACACTCAGCTGAAATCTTAAGGGGCCAATAAGATTTAACTGATGACCTCAAGCTCTAAAAATCACTCCAGAGCACTTTTTAATTTTCCCCAAATTCAATGTTTATTATCCATTGCAGATCTTCTAGAAAAGTCCAGAGTTACTTTTCAGCTAAAGGCAGAAAGAAGCTACCATATTTTTTATCAAATCATGTCTAATAAGAAGCCAGATCTAATTGGTAAGGAAAAACTTAAATATATAGCCTAGAAGTTAATTGTTGTACTAATATTATCTAAAATAAAACTTATATCCTCAATTCTGTGTGCTCAGAAATGCTCCTGATCACTACCAACCCATATGACTATGCCTTCGTCAGTCAGGGGGAGATCACAGTGCCCAGCATAGATGATCAAGAAGAGCTGATGGCCACAGATGTAAGTTACACATTATGTATAAGAATGACAATAATAGCCCACTGTAGGTGTGGTTAAGAATAAAATTCTCCTAAATAAGTTAGTGTCTTTCTAACTTTTATCCTTTCATCTCTCCTGGTAGAGTGCCATTGACATTCTGGGTTTCACTTCTGAGGAAAGAGTATCCATCTATAAGCTCACAGGGGGTGTCATGCATTATGGGAACATGAAATTCAAGCAAAAGCAGCGTGAGGAACAAGCTGAGCCAGATGGCACTGAAGGTACCAAACCAACCTCCATCTGAGTTTAATGAAAGAATATAGGGCAAAAAGCTGAATCCAAACTTGTCTCCTTTATAGATGATCTTTGGATGAACATATACAAATTTACCCTCACACAGACCTTTTATAATACAATATACTCACTACTCTCTCCCTATGAATTGTGGGGCCCAAGAGTAGGTCATATTTGGTACCTGAATTATGTTTCTGCAGTTGCTGACAAGGCAGCCTATCTCCAGAGTCTGAACTCTGCTGACCTGCTCAAAGCCCTCTGCTACCCCAGGGTCAAGGTCGGCAATGAATATGTCACCAAAGGCCAGACTGTGCAACAGGTAAGTGCATGATCTCAATGAATCACACCCATCCCAGGCCTCCGTGACATGTTTTTGATAATATTAACAAACATTACTGTTTGTGAAGGTGTACAATGCAGTGGGTGCTCTCGCTAAAGCTGTCTATGAGAAGATGTTCTTATGGATGGTCACCCGCATCAACCAGCAGTTGGACACCAAGCAGCCCAGGCAGTACTTCATTGGGGTCTTGGACATCGCTGGCTTTGAAATCTTTGATGTGAGTTAGCAGAAAGTTTGTAGCAGAAAAGTTTACAAATTTTGTTGCTGTAGTCATACATAGAAAAGATCTATAAAAAATATCTGCACTATAAACTTAATTCACACATGAAAAAGGTTCAAAAGATCATAAAAGAGCAAAAACTTTGAAATAATACAGAACTAAATTTAAACTCCAACTCTGCAATTCCTAACTATGTGATAAGGGGAATGGTATTTAATTGATCACTGAGCAATTTCAGTGAAGACCCATAGGTAAAGCATCTTGCATTTCAGATAATACATTCATTTCTGAGATCTTTTTGCCAGTAACATGATTTCTGAATTTAAAGCTACTAGACAGTCCCAAGCACATAGTGTTTAAGATGATTGTGATTGAGAAGATGGTGAAGGCAAAGATGGCATCAAAGAGATGGTAGAAACACAATGAAAAAATTCAAAGAAAGACTTTAAGATTCCTATCTGACTAATTAAGGGAAGTGATGTTTAAATACCAAGGTATAGAGAATGGAAATGGCATCGTAAATAAATTCAAATTTGTCTGCCTAGGAAAGAATACTACATAGCATAGGAAATAAGGCTACTCTTTGTCCTCTACCTGATATCAGTATTTTCTAAGGTACTATCTCATCTAGAGGACACATTTCTAAACTTTTTCTATATGTGGACTGATAGAAACTGGATGAAATTTCAGTCAGGGCTTACCACAGGAGGACAAAACCTATCACCCTAAGAGGGAAGTCAGCCTACTCAACTGAGAAAGCCCCTTTCAAAGATAAAACTTTTGTTATAAATTTAACTTTAATTTGTTTTTTCCACTTACTTAGTTCAACAGCCTGGAGCAGCTGTGCATCAACTTCACCAACGAGAAACTGCAACAGTTCTTCAACCACCACATGTTCGTGCTGGAGCAAGAGGAGTACAAGAAGGAAGGCATTGAGTGGGAGTTCATTGACTTTGGGATGGACCTGGCTGCCTGCATTGAGCTCATCGAGAAGGTTCGTTTGCTTTTTTTTCAGACCACAGATTATACCACTGTACAGAGTGTAAAAGAAACTCATAAAAACTTGGTATGTTCTATGATAAAATATTTTTCTTTGTACCATGCTAAAATATTTTTATTGGATTCTGATAAAGCTAATTTTCAAGTCATGCTTGGACAAATGTTGTTCTAAGGCCCTTGGCATAAAGACACAAACTCCCCCAAAGCACAGCCCTCATCTCTCTTATTCTGTCATGTTCCAAAACCTGATATAACACCTTATTCTTCATAGACACTCAATAAATATTTGTTAAATTAGTGACATCTGACCAAAGAGATAAGAGTTCATTAACTCTGTGGAATTAAAGAATGAATTAGTCAAATGGATTATTAATGTCCCATGTTGTTTCTCTAAGCACACAGAATTCATGCGGCATTTGTTTCTTTTCATTCTCCCAGCCCATGGGCATCTTCTCCATCCTAGAAGAGGAGTGCATGTTCCCCAAGGCAACAGACACCTCCTTTAAGAACAAGCTGTATGAACAGCACCTGGGCAAGTCTGCCAACTTCCAGAAGCCCAAGGTAGTCAAAGGCAAGGCTGAGGCCCACTTCTCACTGGTGCACTATGCAGGCACTGTGGACTACAACATTGCTGGCTGGCTGGACAAGAACAAGGACCCCCTGAATGAGACCGTGGTTGGGTTGTATCAGAAGTCTTCAATGAAAACTCTAGCTTATCTCTTTTCTGGAGCTGCAGCTGCTGCTGAAGCAGGTAATTTTCAATAAGTCAATCTTTTACATAAAACATAAGCAAAGAAAATGTGTATTATGATTGCTTGTGCTTTCTTTGCCCCACAGAGTCTGGTGGAAAGAAAGCTGGCAAGAAGAAGGGTTCTTCTTTCCAGACCGTGTCTGCTCTCTTCAGGGTAAAAACTTCATTTTCTCTCTAACTGAATATAGGACATTAAATTTTACTCTTCTGTGTGGAGAAAGGGATATAAATCTTGCAAGAATTTTAGAACTGAGTATGACTCAGGGAAGCTGGTCAGTCAACAGTGGTAGAACTGAGTTTTAGGGAGCATCTGGATAGTTTGGAAGAGAAGCCTCAATAAATAAGAAAGGAGAGCCAAGAAGTGATGCAAGCGAATGACAAAAATATCAGGTGGCAAAATTCAACTTTGGGGTTTGGGAAGGTCCCCAAGGGAATAGGATTTAGTGTAGCATGAGACTTGCTTGAGCCTCTGGGAGCCTCCAAGTGATTCAGGTACTTAAGCTTATATTAGGATAGCACTGAAATGAATAGATTTTGAAAGCCAAAGACAGATGAATAGTGGTGGGAACTGGAGGGTAAGTCAAAAGAAAGAAATAAAATAAAACAGACATGATAAGAAATGGCTCTTTAGGGAAACTTTACCCTTATTTTGGCAATTCCATCCCAAATAACTGAAGCTCTGTTATTCCAACTGGAGGATTTCTATAGAATGGAAAACTTTTTACCCTGGGTAACATGGCCTTTGGTTTTCTGTCAATTCCCAGAATGAGAAATTAAAAAGGCTACTTTCTACAGAACCAATAGGGGGACACAACTCTGTATCTACAACATAATATATGATAAAGGAATAAACATGTGATAGAGAGGTAGACAAAACTGAAAGCTGGGTAAAGAGAGAAATGGGAGAGCTGGAGGAAGACAATGAATTATTATTAAAACCAGACCATATATCTAGGCAGAAGACTAGGTGGAGTATATTTCCATATGTTTAAAATGTCATACTAAATTTACAGCATAAGCTAGAAAATTCAACAGCATTGAACAACCACTTCGAAAGCTAATAGGAAACATATATAATGTACAAAAGTACCAAATCAGATCACATGTTGGGAAAGTGGAAATTCCAGAGATAACTCTTTTGAAAACTCTAATCTAAACACTATTCATTAGAACTGAACCAATGCCAAGAATGGGATCATTATGTCTGTATATATAAAGGTACAAAACACTGCATTTTAAAATCAAATATTCATGACTCTACAGGAGAATTTAAATAAGCTGATGACCAATCTGAGGAGTACTCACCCCCACTTTGTAAGGTGCATCATCCCCAATGAAACCAAAACTCCTGGTAAGAGATTTCCAATATCTATCCAGACAAGCTCCAACATGTTTGCTGTAGTCCATGAGATATGGCACACGCATTCTTTCTTTTAGGTGCCATGGAGCATGAACTTGTCTTGCACCAGCTGAGGTGTAATGGTGTGCTGGAAGGCATCCGCATCTGTAGGAAAGGATTCCCAAGCAGAATCGTCTATGCAGACTTCAAACAGAGGTCAGATGTTTTCATGTGAATAATTTAAGAAATTTCTTTAATTTTTCAATGAAGAATCCTTTTTGCCTTCTATTAAAATTGAATAGAAGAGAAAAACTAAGACTATTTATGGACATATAAAAAGTATAAAATCCTTTGAATATACAGAGAATAGATATAAAAGTAGATACGATTTCTTGTTTAAGTTAGACCACCCAATGGCTATGTTGTTCCTATGCTAGGAAGATTTCTTGTTGGTGACAACAGCTATCATATATTTGATATTATTTATTTATTTGGATTAAACAGATACAAGGTATTGAATGCAAGTGCTATCCCTGAAGGACAATTCATTGATAGCAAGAAGGCTTCTGAGAAGCTCCTTGGGTCCATTGACATTGACCACACCCAGTATAAATTTGGTCACACTAAGGTAACATTCTCTAAATCCAATCTGATACTATTCCTGTTCTTTTGAATTTTATGCAACATTTCTAATCTGGAACACTGCCCCCACACAGGTCTTTTTCAAAGCTGGTCTTCTGGGGCTCCTAGAGGAGATGCGAGATGACAAGCTGGCCCAACTGATTACCCGCACCCAGGCCATGTGCAGAGGGTTCTTGGCAAGAGTGGAATACCAGAAGATGGTGGAGAGACGGTATTAGCAAAGATAATGTTACCTAACCTATCATCCTAGCATTTTAAATTCTGATTCATGTTATAATCTAATTTTGAACATTTCTTTTCCTATCATAGAGAGTCTATCTTCTGTATCCAGTACAATGTCCGTGCTTTCATGAATGTCAAGCACTGGCCCTGGATGAAGCTATATTTCAAGATCAAGCCCCTTCTCAAGAGTGCAGAGACAGAGAAGGAGATGGCCAACATGAAAGAAGAATTTGAAAAAACTAAAGAAAGCCTTGCAAAGGCTGAGGCCAAAAGAAAAGAACTAGAAGAAAAAATGGTTGCTCTGATGCAAGAGAAAAATGACCTGCAACTCCAGGTTCAATCTGTGAGTATCAGAACTCATTTTCCCCCAATATCATGCTAAAATTTCAGTTCAGTGATCACTAAGGAAAGATCTAGATTCCACATAGCAGAGTGACTTGTTATCAGTCTTTTCTAACTCACAATTTCTTTGAATGTTCTATAAGATTTCATGTACAACATTGCTAAAAATCAATGTGGTAGGATTCCTTGTTGTTCAGGAAGCAAAAATAAACAAACAAAAAAAATCTTTCCTTTCCTCTAGTTGTCCTTCCTGGAAGAATCCTGGATAGGAAATAAAATCTTGGCTACCTAAAATTTTCCCTACTGAAAAAAATGCAAATAAAACAGAAAAATTGACCAATATAGTCAATGAAGAGAATTTGTAATGAAAACACATGAACTTGAAAACAGTGTTCTGAGCTTTTATATCTCCTGTCCCCTACAAACTTTCTGCTCAGTTTTATTTTTAGAAACTTTTTACTGCCTGAAAGAGTAGGAGTGTATCAAGGATAATGGCAAGGCTTTCTAGAGATAATGTCAATTTTTATACAAAGCATGAGACACAGAGCTGATAGTCTCTTTCTAAAGACCCAATAAATATTCAGAGGCTTGAGGAAAAATATTTGATGAAGGGCCATTGTCTAATCTACTATTAGGCCCCAAACTGGCATCAAAATCAATAAGAGAAACATTAAAGTTTACACCCCAGTTCTCTGAATTCAGAAGAGGAATCTATTGGGCCCTTGGGTCTATAGATTTTCTACACATAGTTTAAAAATTGAAAGAAAGATGAATTACAAAACAACTAGGTTGGTCTATAATTTTCTTGCACTTTGAATAAACTAGAATTTTCTAAATTGAGAAGAGGGTCATCATACTTTCAAGAATCAAGAGATAATTAAAGGGAATATGTAAGTGTGATTCATGTATTCTCTTCTTCTTTGGGTACAGTATGACCTCTTTTCAACAATACTCCATCAAATACCAATTCAGTAAATATTTTATGTATTAAAAATACTAGGGATACAACTTTGAGCAAGAAATATTTTCCATGATGTCACAGATTTTATTTTTAAACTCTTCTTTTTTCTCTTGAGCAGCACACCTATTACTTACCAAATATCACCTTTTAACATGTCCCCTTCTCCTTCGTTCTTCCATGTGTTCTCTTTAATTCCAAACTATTCTGTCACTGGAGGGCAAATCTTCTCTTTAAGTCACTTTTCTGTTATCACCCTTTCCTCTCAGCTACTTCCTAAATACTCAAGCCTTTTGTTTACTGGTTCTTCATATTCTAAAGTTTCTTAAAATAAACATTAAACAAAGAAAACTGATCTGAAATTATATGCCCCACATTAAACATATGTCATAGCAAATATAACAATATCAAAATTTAATCAGGAACCATGATTTAAATTTCTTTTTAATCTCCAATTAATAATTAATGGCCAATTAGTGTTTTCTTAATGGTGAAAAGCTAAAAAACAATGCAATGCCTTAAAACATAATTTGCTTATTTGGGTTTATCTAAGAAACCCAAATCTAAAAGTGTCTATTGTCTCTCCATAGGAAGCAGATAGCTTGGCTGATGCAGAGGAAAGATGTGACCAGCTGATCAAAACCAAAATCCAGCTTGAGGCCAAGATCAAAGAGGTGACCGAGAGAGCTGAGGATGAGGAAGAGATCAACGCTGAGCTGACTGCCAAGAAGAGGAAACTGGAAGATGAATGCTCAGAACTGAAGAAAGACATTGATGACCTTGAGTTGACACTGGCCAAGGTTGAAAAGGAGAAGCATGCCACAGAGAACAAG